CTACTGGGGTTCAGAGGTGTTGAAGTGATGAGGGTCCTGCTCACAGGAGAGGCTCCTGTGGGTTCAGTCTCACACCTGCATCAAAAGAGGGAAAACATGTTTCTTATTGAATCTCCAGTGTGTGGGCAGAGGAGAAAAACAGGAAGAAGCCTTAGGGGGTCAATAGTCATCAAAATACAGAATCTGACATTTTCTTCTTCTTAGACACTATAAGAAAGGATGTAAGAAAGAGGTAATGATCACTAGAGGTGGGATAACCCAAGTCCTTAGAAAACAAGAGGACTGCTGACCTGTAAGCAAGCAATGATAAGATTAAATTCATGATGGGATTAGAGGGAGGTTTAGCCCAAAAACTTGTGTGCAAGGTGTCCACTGTGTAAGGTCATGGCTTGTTTTGAAGGTCTTGGGTCTGCTATGTGCTCCTACAATGAAGAGAGTCCACCATATCTAGAACCTTCATTGTAAATGGCTCTATTGAAGTCCAGAGCTGAAAAATTGATGTAAAAGAAATGTGCTGCTGGATAAGAGTTTTCAGTTTCCCTTGGACTGCAAGGAGATCAGACCAGTCAATTCAAAAGGAAATCAACCGTAATATTTATTGGAAGGACTGATGCTGACGTTGAAGCTCCCATACATTGGCCACCTGATGCAAAGAGCTGAGACATTGGGAAAGACTCCAATGCTGGGAAAGATTTAAGGCAAAATGAGAAGGGGAAGACAGAGAATGTTGCGGTCAGATAGCAACACTGGAGATACTGGTGCATGGTGGAGCTTGGCGTGATGCAGGCAACGGGTCTCAAGGAGTCAGCCATGACTGAGCACATTTATCAATGTCTTATTATTTCTTTGTATGAGCTCTTATGCAAAAGTGTGCAACAATGTTTTGACATACTTAATTTTAAATATAAATATTTTCCACAGACTTCCTTGTAGTGAAGGAACATTTCAAATTAAAATATTGTGGTGTGAGGACACATCTTCACACAGTGAACTCACAGACTGAACTCACACACTGAACTCACAGACCCTTGTTCGGACACAACACATCTGTGCACCGAAGAGGTCCATGAACCTAGGACCTGTTACATTTCCTTCTGTGGGAACATGAACTTATATGTGTCTCCTAACTCCACCAGCTCATGGTGTCCAGGTCAGATGCGGGGGCATCTCTGCAAACGCAGGCCCTGATGCCCCTTGGTGAATAGCAACAGTCTCACCTGCTCCAGGTGTTGGATGCCACACCTTCCCTCCCCTGCCCCACAGCATCAGCTCACTTTGCAGGTCCAGACCAGCGAGTCTAGATGTGTCCTGTGATTCTTGCTCTTCCTGCTTTGGTTGAAGGTCTTATTACCTACACACAGGCAGGGCAGGTTCTTTCTGATTTAATTTACTCACTCATATGATTGAAAAGATAGAAGTTGTGTCTGAGGAGGCCTTACAAATAGCTGAGAAAAGAAAACAAGTGAAAGGCCAAGGAGAAAAGGAATGATATACCCATCTGATAGTAGAGTTTCAAAGAAGAGGAAGAAGAGATAAGAAAGACTTCTTAAGTGAACAATGCAAAAGAATAGAGAAAAACAACAGAATGCGAAAGACTAGAGATCTCTTCAAGGAAATTAGAGATACCAAGGCAACACTTCATGCAAAGATGGGCACAATAAAGGACAGAAATGGTAGGGACCTAACAGAAGCAGAAGATATTAAGAAGAGGTGGCAAGAATACACAGAAGAGCTATACAAAGAAGATCTTCATGGTACTGATAACCAGGATGCTGTGATCACTCAACTAGAGTCAGATATCCTGGATTGTGAAGTCTACTGGGCCTTACGACATATGACTATGAACAAAGCTAGTGGAGGTGATGGTATTCCAACTGGGCTATTTCAAATCCTAAAAGGTGATGCGGTGGAAGTGCTGCACTCAATATGCCAGCAAATTTGGAAAACTCAGCAATGGCCACAGGACTGGAAAAGTTCAGCTTTCATTCCAACCCCGAAGAAGGGCAACACCAAAGAATGGTAAACCACTGGACAACTGCACTCACATTACAAGCTAGCAAGGCCATGATCAAAGTCCTGCAAGCTAGGCTTCAACAGCACATGAACTGAGAAGTTCTAGATGTATAATCTGGATTTAGAAAAGGTAATGGAACCAGAGATCAGATTGCCGACAACCTTTGGATCATAGAAAGAGCAAAAGAATTTCTTAAAAATCTACTAATGCTTCATGACTATGCTAAAGCCTTTGACTGTGTGGATCACAACAAAGCATGGAAAATTATTAAAGAGATGGCAATACCAGACCACATTACCTGCCTCCTGAAAAAAGTGTATGCACTTCAAGAGCAATAGTTAGAACAGATCATGGAAGAAGAGACTGGATCAAGAATAGGAAAGGAATGAATCAAGGCTCTCTATCGTCACCGTGTTTATTTAACTTACATGCAGTGTACATCACACAAATGCTGAGCTGTAGGAATCACACGGCGAAATCAAGATTTCCAGTAGAAATATCAATAACCTCACATATGCAGATGACACCACTCTTATGGCAGAAGCCGAAGAGGAACTAAAGAGCCTCTTGATAAAGGTGAAAGAGGAGAGTGAAAAGGCTGGCTTAAAGTTCAGCCTTCAAATTATTAAGATCATGGCATGAAGACCCATGACTTCATGACATATATAGGGAAACAGTGGAATCAGTGAAAGTCTTTATTTTCTTGGAGTCCAGAATCACTGTGGATGATGACTGAAGCCATGAAACTAAAAGACACTTACTGCTGGGAGACACTAGACAGTGTATTAAAAAGCAGAGACATGACTTTGTCAGCTAAAGTCCATATAGTCAAAGTCTTGGTTTGTCCGTTAGTCATGTAAGGATGTGAGAGTTGGACCATAAAGAAGGCTGGGAGCTGAAGAACTGATGCTTTTGAACTGTGGGACTCTTGAAAGTCCCTGAGACTGCAAGGAGATCAAACCAGTCCATCCTAAAGGAGATCAGTCTGAATATTCATTGGAAGGACTGATGCTGAAGCTGAAGTTCCAATACTGTGACCGCTTGATGGGAAGAGCCAATTCATGGGAAAAGACGCTGATGCTGGGACAGATAGAAGGCCGAAGGAGAAGGAGATGACAGAATGAGATGGTTGGATGGCATCAGTTTGAACAAGCTCTGGGAGATGGTGAAGGACAGGGAACTGCAGTCCATGGGGTCACAAAGAGTCAGACATGACTGAGTGACTGAACAGCAACAACAACCAATATTATGGAAAAGACAGAAGCAATATGGTCCGTTTAGGACTCTCCTCATGTAACGGGATGGAGGAAAGGGCTTTTCATAGAAAGCAGTTTCCACTTCAGCTGAAACACAGCTGAGATCCCTGGGCTGAGGGAGAGCTGACCTGCCCCAAAGCTGCAGTGTTGACATCTCAGGAAGGAGAGGGCCAGGGTCACATGGAAAGGGTGTCAGTCAGAGATGGGGACCCACACAGGTCTTTTCTGCCTCCGGGAGAGATAACACCACTGATGGCAGCACTCACCACCCCCGGAAAGCCCACCTAAAGTCCAGACGCACCGTGACGGCCGTCATCCCCAGTCTCCATGCTCACAGCCGGGATGCAGGCGCGAGGCCACAGCCTCAGGGCCACAGGGAGACGGGGGAGCTGTGCTCTGCTCTCCAGCACTGCTGACTCAGAGGACCTCAGGCTCAGTCCAGGACACGGAGCCCCTGGGCTCGGGAAAGCTGCTCTCAGTGGGGTTTTCAAGGGAACCTGCTTCCTGAGGAGGGGCTTTCCTCTGACCTTGCCGCCCTCACACTGCACGCCGTTCACTGTGAAGGTTTACCTCCACGAACCATGCGTGTCCTCTCACCACTGTGGTGGGGACTATGTTTCCTGAGCTCCCATCTCACGGCCGGGACACAGAGAGGAAGAAATAAGCACTTGGAGGAGGAGGGAGTCTGTGCAGAGTGACCAGGACACCTGCCCAGCACGTCAGAGCACTAGGAGCTCCCGGGCGCTGTCTGTCCTCAGTCTGCAGTAGCCTTGGGGCCCTCAGTGTCCACACTCAGGCTGGGGGTCCTGAGGTTCACAGGCTCCTGCAGACACTCAGTTGCGGACAGGATACTGTGGGACAGCCCACTGGGCAAGTCAGCCAAGCTGGGAAGACGAGCTTCTCAGCAGAAACGTCTACTTTGTCCACAGAATTAATGCTGTGTGTAATTACTGTGAATAAACCATCTCTAGACTGATTCTTGAGGGTATTTAAACTGTTCCAGATGAAAAAATAGTCATAAAAGGTAAGGGAAATATAAATGCTTTGGGAATTCCGATAAACATTAAGTTGGACCCAACTCCATTTGAATTCAATGTGATTATTACTTGTATATTTTGTCTCTTATGTTTGAATACGGAGTAAGTAAACATAAGCTAATCAGAAAACAAAACAAACAAGAGTTTGTGTCTGACACCTGGGTGGTCCCCGAATGTGTGGAGGGCTTCTGTTGAGTGAAGGTAAACACCTCCATGGGGTTAAAGTCTCTTCCCAAAATCTGTCATTGTTGCCTGACAGCATCATTTTGCCTGAACAGACCTCCCTCATCATTCCATTCGTTGATAAACAGCCTTCCTGGTAGGGGGAGGGGGACCACAGGAGGGGCTGAGTTCTCTGATTGAACAGTCAGCGTCCTCCTCACGGGGCGAGGTCCATAGACTGAACCTCCTTTCACTACCTTCTGCTTTTTATGCAGAGGCCCCTCCCACATGCAAAGATCCGCTCAGGTCACAGGGTGGAAACACAGCACCAGGTCACTTAAATTCAGGCTGCTCCTCAGGCTTGAAGAGATTTCCGGGAGCGGTGACTCTCATCTGCTCGAAGATGAGCCCACTGTGGACCTTCCTGTTCCTGCTGTCAGCTCCCAGCGGTGAGTGTCTCTGGATCAGACATGGGCACGTGGGGAAGCTGCATCTGAGCCCGTGAGTCACCGTGCTTCTCTCTGTCCACAGGCGTCCTGTCCCAGGTGCAGCTGCAGGAGTCGGGACCCAGCCTGGTGAAGCCCTCACAGACCCTCTCCCTCACCTGCACTGTCTCTGGATTCTCATTAAGCAGCAATAGTGTAGCCTGGATCCGCCAGGCTCCAGGGAAGGCGCTGGAGTGGGTTGGTGGAATAGTTTATAGTGGAAGCACAGGCTATAACCCAGCCCTGAAATCCCGGCTCAGCATCACCAGGGACACCTCCAGGAGCCAAGTCTCCCTCTCACTGAGCAGCGTGACACCTGAGGACACGGCCGTGTATTACTGTGCAAGAGACACAGTGAGGGCAAGTCAGAGTGAGCCCGGACACAAACCTCGCTGCATGGGCGCCCCGGACCACCAGGGGGCGCCCGGGACTCGGGAGAAAGCTGAGCCCCGGAGCCGGGGAGAAGAGGCGTTGGGGGCTGGCCGGCCTGGAGGGGATTCCCTTCAGAACCTGTTCTTTACTGCTCCCGCCCAGCAGCTAAGCCGCAGACCCTCTCATGTGTCCTGAGATTCCATCGCTATGGTTTATGTCACTCTCAGACAACTGTGTGTGTGTGTATGTTTTAATTTCTCCTTGAAGTAAGGATAGCTTTATGCAGACACACACACACAGACACACAGACATAATAGTCAACAGCTAAATTGTTTTCTCCTTCATTGTTCTTCTTTCTAAGGAGCTCAGTAAAACACTTGACTCTGACGTTCATTTCAAAACTGTTACCTACCTGAAGTCCACACCCCATTCTGGGCTTCTGTCTGGATCAGTCATAAGGGGAAATAGAGAGGTGCTCAGGAGGATTTGCCCGTGGGGTCAGCATGGAGCCCCCCACCCCCTGTGCTCACTCCCGCCACAGTGGCCGTCACTGGTGCAGAGTGAGGAAGCCGCAGCTGTGCTGGGCTCAGCCCTGAGGAAGACCCATGGCCTGAGAGGACGAGCAGCCGAGCTGAGGTGGGAGGGGCAGGGGGCCGTCGGGACGGAGACTCTGGGCTCAGAACGGGGGACCTGCCCTTGGATCTGGTTCCAAGGCCACATGCAGACGTGGAAAGGGGCGGGGAGGAGGGGAATGGCTCCTCTGAAATTACCTCAGGAACCAGTAATAAGATGTGTTGTCCTGCCTTCTGGCTAGCACTGGGTCACCGGGGACGTGACAATCTCCTCACCGTGGTGCTCTCTGCATTCCAGCCTCTTGGCAGAGCTTTGGAGCCTGAGCCTAAGTGTAAGCGCCCTGCTGTGCCCTTCGCCCCTGTCTCTCGTGTTAGTCAAGGCTGTCCAGGCTCCTCTCACGCGCAGTGACATTCGATTTCTCCTTCTACTCACAATTCAAGGACAGCCTCAGCTGGTACCTGCTGGTTTTTGCATCAAGAGGTAGTGTGTGTGAAACCTGTCATGTCCATCCTTAAAGCAAGGGAATTCTCAACACCAAAACTTTCCCTGGACCGAACACAATCCTGACATTTCAAGGGAATCTCCCAAAACAAAACCAGAGAGGTGGGCAATCCACAGTCCAGGTGGGACCGGCCCACGGATGTGAAGCTTCAGGAGGCACACCTTCAGGGTAATTCCTACCAGTTCCTGCAGGACCAGCAATAACCACTGTGAGGATGAGAGATCCAGGGGTCACACTCCATGGCTTTTGGGATATAACTCCAGAAACATCCAGGTCCTCAAGGTGAGTGTTCATATTTCACCCTTCAGGACACCTGATGGACGAGGGGAAGGCCAATGCTGAGAAATGCTAACACCTACCCAGAAGGTGCATCAGGCAGACCCTCCAGGGAAGAGCTCTTCCCCCAGCTTCTCCTAGGAGGTGAACAGAAGTTCTTGTCTACTGCAGGCCTACAGAGGGGGCAGACCTCACAGCTAGGAGAAGGGACTGGACCGGTGCAGTGCAGGCCGGGAGGAGGTAAGCGGGGATGGGCCAATACTGGAGACCCTGGAGATGCTCACAGCCCAGACTCACCTCCCTTGAGTCGTGGGTGTTCAACCTCAACAATGCAGGAAGCCCCTACCCACATGTGACCCCCAGGGACCTGGCAGAGCTATGATGTGCAGCCTCTTTGAGGAGGGGAGCTAGTGTGCAGAGACCACAGCCAAACAACATCCAGGAGGCAGGGTGCTGAGGCTCTGGTACCCATGGCTAGAGACCAGGCTTCGAGCACCTCACTGCTGGCCTCAGACACCCTCTCTCTCCTGCCTGATCAACTTGATCAAAATCCCTCTCCTGTTCTTGGGTATCTGACATGCTCAGGAATATTTATGAAGTTTCCATCAGAGACTCAGAACAGGGGGAAGAAGCGGGTTTGTCACAGGGTCCTGCAGGAGGACATGTGGCTGACTCAGCAGTGGGTCAGTCTCCCCACTGATGCCAGGTCCTGAGGTCCTTGGGCAGGTGGTCAGGATGGATGGTGAGAAGCAGGATGGAGTCTGAGGATGGATGCACCCCGAGGCCGTCCTGGTGAAGAGATGTCCTGCCAGGGGACATGCACACTGCTGACCTAGCTTCTCTGCAGGGTGCTGTTGTGGCAACCCACTCCAGTGTTCCTGCCTGGAGAATCCCATGGACAGAGGAGTCTGGTGGGCTACAGTCCGTGGGGTCTCAAAGGGTCAGACACGACTGAGGTGCCTGAGCATGCTCAACGCCCCCCGTCCCCCGGGTGAGCATTCCCTCAGGGCAGCATCTCCTGAGTCAGCTGACAAGGGCGCTGCCTCATCCTCCTCTGACTTCAGGTGTCTCCTCTCACACAGGTGTGGGCACTAGAGACCCTCAGGCGTTTGTGCCGTGAGTTGTCAGGGGGCAACTGCACTGGTTTCTGACATGGGGGCTAGTCCGGCACCTCCTTGTGGGGCCCCTGCAGGGTCCAGGTGCTGCAAGAACAGGGGAACCCAGGGGTGGAATGGTAGGTGGAGTGGGCATCGAGCCCCATGCTTCTGTGTGCAGCTATCCTGTGGCACAACGTTAGCCCCCGGGGGCTCCGGGAGGTGAAGGGACCCCAAGTCCTCGAGAGCCTCCGGACTCACTGTGAGTGTCAGCTGCCTCAGTGCAGCTGCAGCCCCAGGGAGGCGACGTCCAGGTGTTCTCATAAGTTTCTTCCTTGGGTCTCTCTGCAGAGAGTGTGCATCGATAGAGGCTATTTCTAGAGATGATTAAAAGACCATGCTGTCTCTAGAAGAATACTCTGACGGTAGAACACTGCCATTTCCTACCAGGCTAGAAACACTGCCAGGACTGCCTGTGAGCCCAGGCAGGGGCTGCCCAGGATCCCAGCGCAGGGCTGCTGCCCAGGAGCATATGGGGAGGGGGCTGGGGAGACTCAGAGACGGAGTCTTCTCTTTTCACGGAAAACAATAGCTAGCAGGACGAGGACTGGTGACGTTTAATATTGGGTCCTGATGAGAATACACAGCTCAGTGAAGCCATGAGAAGTATGTGTGTGTATTGCTGTGAGTGTGTGTGAGTGTGTCTGAGTGTGCATGTGATGTGTGGGTGTGTATGTGTGTGTGTGAGTGTGCATGTGAGTGTGTGTGTAAGCATGAGTGTGTGTATGCGTGCATCTGAGTGTGTGAATGTGTCTGATTGGGTTTGTGTGTGTATGTGTGAGTGTGAAAGTGTGTGTGTCTGTATGTCTGTGTGACAGGTGACTGTGTGTGTGTGTGTGTGCGTGTGAGTACCCAGTGGTGGCAGAGTTTGGGGAACACACGGATTAGAGGTGAAGATGTCTCTGTGACATTAAAGGCTGGTTCACGGTGAGGACTGTGTCCTGTGCGGCTGGTCCCTCACTGCAAGAGCTCTGAGTGCACAGGGGTCAGGGCCATGGCAGGGACACACGTCCTCAAACAAGGGTGAGGACGCGGACACACAAATTCCCACTGAGCGTGGCCATGGGTCATAGGACTACTCCTTCCTAATATTGCCCGTGCAGTGAGTGTAAAGTTTTCAGCCTCTAGAACATGCAGATGGCCTGAGGTGTCCTAGGTTAAAGTGGGATATTCTGAGCCCTGAGAACATCACCCACAACAACACCGACTCTGCACAGCAGTCCTGGGAGCACAGCCCTCACCAGGGACGGGAGCTGGAGAGTCCTCCTCCTGGGGCCTTGGCTCCAGGTCAGGGTCATCCCGGTCTGGGGTGGAGGAAGGGACAGGGTCCAGTCAGGGGGTTCATGCCGCTCTGACCCCGGTCCACGGCTGTGCACACCCAGGTGCAGCTGGTGCGGTCGGGGCTGAGCCGAGGAAGCCCAGGGCATCAGTGAAGGTGTCCTGCACGGCTTCCGGATCCCCCTTCAGCGCCCACGACACGCACTGGGTGTGACAGGCCCCTCAGCACGGGCTTGAGTGGGTGGACGGATTGACCCCGAGGCTGGTGGACAAAGAATGCACAGAAGTTCCAGGGCAGAGTCACGCTGGCTGCAGACACGTCCGCCAGCACCGCCTGCGTGGAGCTGAGCAGTCTGAGGTCTGAGGGCCCGGCTCGTTATTGCTGTCTGAGACACACAGTGTGAACACACACATCCTGAGGGTGTCAGAAGCCCTGAGGGGCAGGGCGGCTGTGCTGGGGCTGATGACGACAGGGCCGATTGGGTTGGGGCCCTGAGAAAGGTGGGTGCAAACATGCGCTCACTGTCTCAGGAGTGTGTTCACTGTCAGAAGATTGTGCTCACTGTCGAAGAAGCAGTGTCTCCACTCTCAGGACTGTGTTCTGTCGGAGGAGTGTGTTCCCTCTCAGAGGAGTGTGTTCACTACTAAGACGTCTGCAGGTGGTTGAGCCTTTTGCCGCCCCGCCCAGGAGTGAACACCGTTTTGCTCTGTCTTTGCCAGGACCTGGTATGCTGTGTTCTGGGTTCCAGCCATTCTAACTGTGCAGTGGTACCTCGTGGTCATTGAATCATGCAGTCCCTGATGGCTTGGGATGTGGAAGGTCTTTCCAAGTGCTCATGTGTCAGCTGTCCATCTTTGCGGGGAAGTTCACAATTCACTCATTTTTCACTGGGTTGCTTACCTTCTGTTGTTCAGTTATGAGTGTCCACGTGCATTCATAGCACAAAGTTCTTCCCAAATATGCTATTTATAAATGTATCTTTCAGCCTGTGGCTAGCCATTAGACTCCTTTACCAGGGAGTTCAGAAAACAAGTGTTTTTCATTGTGATGCTTTCCAATTTATCTGTTTTTCCCCCATGGATCATGCTTTTGGTCTAAAACTTGTTGGTCTAAAAACTTGTTGGCAAATTTAAGGGCACCCAGCAGTTTTCCAAGTGCAGCCCGGCCCCACCCTCAACAGATGGGGCTGAACAGGTGG